TGCGCGTATAAATTTCTTTTTTGTGCATATTTTTTTTGCGTTTGCGCCAATAAAAATTTTTTGAATTTATAACACTGACGGCAGCTTATTTCCTGACAAGATAAATTAACCAAAATGAATTTGCATGGTTCGATGAAATCGATTCGCGGATAGAATCCAAATAGGGATTCGTTCGAATAGTATTCGAATCAGATCCATTATTACTAAATCTATATAAAGAGCAATTTCTTTTCTTGATTACAGCTAACTATGTCCGTTATATCGATCGTTGATTGTATTTTTGTGGGTGTTTTTAAAAATATCTTAACCAAAACTGTTCAGGTTTTGTTTGAGGGTTAGGGGTCAGCTTTATGGGTAGAAGTTATAATAAACAAGTATAAGGGTTTTAGTAGGTTTTATGGATCTAAATTGAGACCCCCAAATTTGCAGCTTCAGCATCATGCCCAACATATATTATAAAATGCACCTATGGTGTTTAACACCTATTGTATGTTTTTCTAGATTTATATATACAAATTTTTACATGTTAGTACTTATAGTTAGGATTAAGGTTTGGAAAGGGTTTTCGGTGACGTAGAACATTTTTACTTAGAACACCTCACACACGCTTAATTAGCCAGTTTTTGAGATAATGCATGCATAGGTGTTAAACACCATAGGTGCATTTTAGTAATGTCGTTATTTAAACTAGAACGATCATTTTTCCTTATAATCATACGTACGTAAGAACCTTTATTAAAAACCCGTACGTTATTACTGTATTATTATTACTGTATTTCTCTCTCTTTTTTTATTTTTTTATCGAGGTATTATCGATATCGTTAAAGATCTCTCACGGTCGGATCGAATTCGATAAATAATTGTTTCTCATAACAAAATTCTAAAAACGACCCCGCCTTTAATTTTTAACTACGTATAAAAATTTTATAGAAAAATATATTAAAAAACTAATCCGGAAGTATTAATAGTAAATAACAAATTTTGGGGTTAACAATTTACAAAAATGATCCGGCCGGGTTATGATTAACTTTATATAGCCTAATACTTTGTAAATTAGATACGTAATATAGATCATAAAATGATACTAATCAAAATTCTAATGGATCTAAGATGGATGAACAACAAAGTTTAGCCAAAGATTGTGACTTAACAGAGTTCAACGGCGAGAGTCTTCTTGACCCGATAAACCGTCTTAAAGAAATATTACAGTCTCAGTCATCTATCTTTGATAGTTCTTCAAACGTTGATGTCCCCGAATCAACCTTACAAGGCCACAATTCTCCTAAGGCTTCATCCGTTGAAGCTTCACTTTCGTCCTCAGACGCTAATTCAACACATATAGAGTCTAATCTTAGTACTGCTCATACTTTATCAACACCCTCTTCTAATAATGATACATTAAATCTAACGCTAAAAAGAAGGAGCGTACCACCTGTAGCATTGATTTCAGCAGATATCAGACAAGTAAGGAGTCGTACCCAAAGAATTAACGCATATTGTAAGAACTTTTTACATATTCAACC